GTACGTTTTGTTTCATCTGTATCATTAATAACAGCACTAACGGAAGCACCTTGTCGAATACGTTTACATAATTCATTTAAATCAATTTGATATGTATCTAAATAACGTATAAATGTTTGTCGTTTTCGATTTCTATCAATACATTCAAGTTCAATTGATTGTATATGACCATTAATACGAATTGGTTGTTCAAGATGAACAAATGATAATTCAGTACATGGTGACATAGCATCAAAAACAGCATTATTCAGTTCATTCCATCCAACTAACATTGTTGATTCATCTTTTGTTTTAAACAATCGAACAAGTACTGAATCTAATTTAACTTGTTTTTCATTATTTAAATTATTTCTCATAACATATGATCGAACTGCTTGTCGAATTTCATCAGCACGAAAATAATGTGTTGACGATGAACAACCTAATAATTCATTAACACGTGAATTTGTTTTCCATAATTCAGTTATCACAGGAAAAGTATATTTAGTATTCGCAACTTCTGATTCAGTGACAGCAGCAGCTGCTACAGCTTCCGATGCTTTAGTTAAATAATTTTTAAGCCATGAAGGTGTACGAAAACTATCTAATTGTTCATTATTAGTTAAATTAAATGAAGTAATAGCAAGTACACCTGGTTTTATTTCATCAATTGAAATAAGATTATTAATTTCTTGTTGATGTTGAAGAAATTTTGAAAATTTTTTATATGAACTTAATTTAAGATCAAGTGTTAAACCAGGTACACAATCTTGCATTATTGTATAGAAATGTGATGCTAAAAGTGGTAATTCATATGTTTTAGCTTTACGTTGACATAAATAAAGAAAAATTATATTAAGTATTTCGTCCATGGATTCAGGATGATCTAGTGATTCATTAGGTATTGAAACTAAAATTATGAAAAAAAATAAATAACACTTAATTATACAAGAATTACTTCAAATTTTAAATCAAAATATTATTACGAGATTGATATTTTAATTCCACAGAACTAACGCTAACAGCTTTATAAGAAGAAAAAAAATACTAACCGGGTATTGCTTCTTCATTTAAATTCAGTGTGATAATATTATCTGAAGCTTGAGCACATGCTTGTTCAATATTTTCATCAATTTTTCCTTGATCAGTAATAAATAATTGTCGTTGTTCTTTTTCATAGGGCACTTCAGTACGTGGTCCAATATTCCAAAGAGCATCTTGATAAAGATGTAGAAGTATAATACCTCGTCCTTTCATACCACTCATATACATATCATCACCATCCATCGTTGTTTGACCAATACCTATTGGATATCGATTATCATCTAAACATATTGCACAAAATTCATCACGTTGAACATGACGAAATGTTTGTGGTGTAACACAACCTGGTGGTAATATTAGACCAGGTAACATAAGATCAGCACCATTCATTAATTTATTAAAAACATGTTTATGTGTATGAAATTTTAATGTTAATAAATCTGGACATTTCCATAAAAGATAAACAGTTGGTAGAATACGTTCAATTTTACTTTTATTATCTTCGATAATAAAAAACCAAGGAATTTTATTTGTTGAATAAACTAATATATCATCACCTGTACTTAATAATAATTTACATGATGTAAAATCATCACCTTTACCAGTCGGTATAATTAATGAAAGTATATCATCATTAAGTGTTGAATAGATTTGTTGAATTTGTTGACGTAGTTTTTTTCGATCTGAAGATTTTACTTGTGTATATCCTTTTGATTTAAAATCTTTACGAAACATAATCTATAATAATAAAATCTATATATTATAATCAAAAGAAAGAAAAAACAGAGTAAAATTTTTCTGTGGCACCTATGGCTATCTTATCTTCGTCGAATGATACTTAGAATATAATGAAATTTTTTTTCTATGTAGAAATATATACAAGACACAATAAAATTGTTTAACCAAAGATATCTGATCTTGTTTTTATTTTGATTTCTTTTAATTACATTATAAATGAATATGACTATGATTTCAATTTATAATAGTCATATAGTTCGATGATCAAATCATTTTTTTTTCTAATCGAATTTTATTAACAACGTAAGACCATGTAGAGCTCATCATGGATGAATAGAACTTGATGAGTTACATAAGAAAAACAAAGGCATTATACATGTTCGAAAGCAAACTTGCAACAAACGGAATTTTTTGTCTATTATTTGTATACTTAACAATCATGATATCTTCTTTTTAACGTACAGTACACGACTTTTTTTTGTAAGATTAAATTATTCTTAGTTGAATGACAGATGTATTAAATATTCTCCAATAATACACCATAAGTAGTTATCAATGATATTATTTTTTTTTTGTTAGACATTTGCATCTAAAAAAGAACATAATTATATATTTTCCTAATAATAGAAAACGATTTTAATTAAGTTACAGTGTGCTACTCGTCTTATGCGATAATAAACTAAAACTACAAATGAACTGAACGAGTTATAAAGAAAAGTGGTAATATGAAAATACATATGTTCTACTGAGTTGATTAGAAGAGCACGGATCTAGTACAACCAGCGTTAGAATCGAGAAGTAGTGCCTCTCCGAAAGAGAAAATCTAATATAATATTCAGATTGTTTCTTCTTGTAAAACTGTCTACTTTTTTTGCTACTAAATTTATGAAAACAATCAATAACAGTTCGATTTCATTTTAATAATTTTTTCAGAAAATAAATTTATTTTTATTTCTAAACAGACTAACATAAAAAATTTCTCATAAAGACATATACATATTATGATGACAAATAAAAGCCTGAAGGCATTATATTTCCGATAAACGACATGGAACGATCTTCGAGATATAATTGAATAAAAACTAATTCAATTGTACTATTCATATCTTTATCGATAGTTTATTTTATCATATGCTAAACAGTAGCTATCATATTTTAATGAAAATTTGAATAAAAACACTTATGGTAACGAAAAAAATATTGCTGATACATATTGACACTTTGATGCAAATAAATTTTTCGAATTCAATTGATTATCAGTATTTTCAAAAGTAACATAAATAATGCTATATAGATAGTAAGCTTTTTTGATCTCCTATCCTAATCTTACTTTTCTATGTAAAACTTCTAAACTTATCGTACCCTACGAAGTTTTTATCACATTCTCTTCCTTAGTTCTATCCTAGTTCGAAAAGACTTTGAAATAAATTTTCAAACTCTTGCTCGATCTTAACCTACAGATTTCTACTATTAAATAAAACAAAACTATAGATAATTATTTGATTCATAAAAAATAAGAATAAAGATGAAAATATGCTTTTTCTTTTTTTAAACATAAATACAACATTTATTTCCAAATATATTTGTTAACATAAATATTCAATTAATATTCATAAACAACAACAATAAAGAGATGTTAAGATTAGAGAAGAGATGAGATTTAAAAAATAAACATTGATTATTGATATTGAAGAAGAAGAAAAAATGAATATCTAAATGTAAATTATTGCCAATGTGTACCAGATGATGTTGTTGAGGTATTATTTTTTGTATTTCCAAATGGCATAAATTGACTATTTAACTAAATAGATTAAAAATATAAAGTAAAGAATAAACAAAAGTATCTTTTTTTTTGTCTTACTTGACCATATGTAAATGTTGATGTTGGACTTTGAACAGTTAATGGATTGATACTATTTGGCTTATTATGATTTATTGTTGAATGTCCTTGATATGGATGACTTTGCTGAAAAAACAAAAAAGATTTTATTTATATAAAAATTTGTTCTTTGCATAATACATACTTGAGCTTGAAATCCGAAATTTGTTGCTTGTTGATAAAGATTATTACTAAATGATACTGATTTTTGTGGAGGTACTAAATGTGAATGTGATGCTGGTGAATAGGCAAAACCAGGAATTGTAGCTAAAATCAAACAAGAGATAGAAGTTTTCGATACTGAGTAAAAAAAAAAAAGTACGTCAACTTCAATTCTTTGACTAGAAGAGTCGAGTTTGACAAATCCTAATTAGTAGATTATTTTTGTTTATTGAAAAATAAATTTCAATGTATCTATTCTTGATTTATCAGTTAAAAAAATTTCTCTCATCGTCTGATTTATCCATATAATAAAATATGATCAGAAATTTTTATTGAATCATTTAAATACATACGATTTGATGATGTTGGCATATGTGATGGTCGAATATTTATTCCTGAAGATATTGTTGTTGGTACAACTTGAGGTATATTAAATAAAGCCATAATTTTTTCATTACTCATAACTGTATCATTATTTGTTTGAATATTATTTGAAGAAGATAATGTATTATCTAATGTTGTCGTTTTGCTTATTACTTCTGATGTTGATGTTGTAAATAATTCATTTAATGGATCAAGAATCTCTGATGAAGAAATAGGTGTTGTATTATTTGATATAGGTAATGTTGGTTCATCTGAAATTTATTATAATCTAATATTCTAAAAAAAAAATTTTTTTATATTTTTATACCTAAATTTAATAAATCTCGAGTATTATTTTCTATAGGAGGTGATAATGATTTTACAATTTGTTGTACTGGATTACTAGTTGGTATTGGTATTGCAAATGGTCTTAATTTTATAACATTTTTGTTTATCTAAAAAAAAAAAAAGAAAATTTATTTTCTTGTAAATTATAAAATAATATTTAGAAAAATAATCTACTCGTTCATTAGCAGATGTTGTTTCAATACGTCGTTGATTAGTTTCTGATTCAATGAGCTAAAAACACACAAAAAAAAAGAAGTTGTATTGAACATAGAATAAATTAAAAAATACATAAAATATTCACAAGACAACACTGACATCAATAGGCACCGTTATTTCAGGTGGAATCCATTCTTTAGCAATCCATTTACGTTGTTCATATTTAGCTCGAATAAATGATTCTAATGTTCTAAAAGAAAAACAAACAAAACATTAAATATATATTAACTATTTTATCACATACGAATCAGCTTGTGGTCGTCGAAATCCATCAGGTAAATTAGCTTCATATACAGCACGTGCACGACTATTACCCATAGCTTGCATTGACTATTAAAATACAAAAAAAAACATAAATAAATAAAAACAAGAAATTTTTTGTATTTCATACAGCAATTTGTTCGCCTGTCCAAGAATCTAAATTAACTGATTTAACTTTTGATATATGTACACCTAAATTACGATGAAAACCAGCACAACGAATACATATAAATACACCTATATTCCAACTAGCCCATCGAGGACCTAGAAAGTAAATATATATGATTGTTTAATAAATTATTTATTTTCTCATTACTTTTAGTATCACAATCAACACAATATTTATTATCTTCTTCTTTAAGCATTTGTGAAAGTATCATTTGATATTTTTCTTGCATTTTAGATTTTTCACGTTCAGATCTTGATGTCATTATAATTTGTTCTAAATGCTAAAAACAAAAAAAAAAGAAAATTAACATTTGACAATATATTAAATTGATAAATGCATCGAATAGATCATTTTCTTATGACAAACGTCACAATAATATTTTATTGGACTATTACAATTGACCAATCAGAAATTATTTGTCAAAATGTGTCACTAATCATTGTAATAATCTATTTTTGTTATGATTCTATTTAAATAGATGAAAAATGTATTTCATATTTCATCTTGTAATATCACACAGTAGAACATTTTCAATATTTCTATTAACACAATCTAATAAACAAGATTAGAAATGTCACTTAGTGCGTAGTCTTGACATATAATGAATTTTGATTAGTTCTCATAATAATACCAAAAAAAAACACAATCATTATACACGACAGTTTTCACGTTGACTATCAGATAGAAGAAGAAAAAAAAACAACAAATATATAGAACATGTTCTAAAATTATCTTCAAATAATAAATGAATATGATCTTTCTATGAAAGAAAACCTATTAATTTCTACAAAACTAAAGATTATCTATAACAATTTGTAGAATATGAAAAATTTTCTCATTTATATTCTTCAAACAAGATATTAGTATACTTAATCATAAATATTTTGAAGGATAATAACATGCTTATAATGAGAATACAAAGAATATCCTTCGTTTATATTCATGTGTCAAATAAACAATAGTGAGAATAAATGGTTATACACATTTTTGTTCGGTTTATTTGTTGAAATGATGATAATCATTTCTAATGACAGTTATATATTGTTAAAATATTTATAGAAGATGAAGAGTATATACGATATATGCAATCGTCCTTTCTTTTTAACCATGATATTGACTATTTCAAACTAAAAATTTTGTTTGTTTGATTTTCTTAAATTAATCATTATAAAAATTCTGCAAACAAGAAGAAATTTATACTTAAGTTATTTATTAACTATGATATAAATTGAAAGAAAACTTGTTTTTCTATATCTTATATAAAGATTAAGTATCAAGACTCGTTTTTTTCTTCAAGCGTACTAATAAATTAAATATTAAATTTAATTATTTTTATTGAATAAATTTTCTATTCCCAAATGTATTAATCTTTTTTTTTTCGATTATAATCGATACACTATATATAAGACATGATATTATATAGAAAAGTAATAGTCACATTGACACAAAGTTATGTCATTGATCTTTTATCATGCTGTGGATAATCTTTATCGAGTTCTACAACAATGTAGAAGGTAAAAATATTTTCTTTCGATAGTAAAAATGTGTGATCTTTCTTTTTCTTGTGTTTCATCAAATCTACATAAATCACATTCGTTAATTGAGAATTGTCTATTCGCAACAGTGCTATTGACGTTGATGACAAACTATAGAATGCACACAATAGTTGTCCAAATGCCGATCTCTTTCTGTTCTTCTTTCTTTTTCTTATGTGGTATCTGCTGTTCTTGTCTACTGTGATAATATAGCAAACTAGCATATACACACATATATATATATATATGTATATATAAGTTCAGAATATATCTACAAATATTTGTGCGACGAATAAATTTTTTTTTTCTTGGATTATTAACAAAGTCGATCGAAACCATATTTTTAAAGAAATAATAATACATCTGGTTTGATTTATAATAGTAACATTATTATATTATCTTTTCCTTATTTTATCAATATTTATATATTTGACTATTTAATTATATATATCTTCATTTAATGTCTCTTCTGTATTATCGCGTTTTCAATGATATTTTTGACGTGATTCGTCGACACAGAGCCGTGAAGTAAGCAATAATTCAAATGGATATTTTTTTTTTATAATAAGATTTTCTTATGTATTGATATACAAACAAACATAGTTTTTAGTTTATATGATATAAATGAGATAGACAAAAGAACAAAAAGCAGTAACTACGTAGTCGATCAAAATACATTCCAGAAACCAAACAATGACGTCAGCTAAAAGATCAGTTAAAATAACTATCTTTTTAATTATGTTGTCCTAGATTATAATACGCAGAGTTTTCTATGTTGATAGAAAATTCAAATAGTAGCACATCATTGATCAGATCTACCTTAGAAAAAAAAATAGCAATATTTTTATGTATCTTTCATTCAAGAAAGTATCTTCATCATACAGAATATTTATTGATTGAGAAAAATCAATGGATAACATTTTTCGGAATGTAACCTTGATCTAGAAAAAGCATACATCATTTTTTATTGCCTGTCATACATATAAACTGCATAATAGAATTAATATAAATTAAGAATTTACACATGATGACATAAATACCATAAAGTCTGTGTTTTATAAGGAAATATAATTTATTACGTATTAATATTTAAGAAAGTACTCTATATAAATTTTAATTTTTCAAAATTAAATATTGAAATAAAGAAACTAATATATTGATATTACTTTTAGTAAACTATACGATTTATTTTGTTTTTTGATTGCATAAATAATGATCTCATTCTCTTGTTGATATATTTCAACTTTCGTTTTTTTTTAATTCTTTCTTTGATATAAACTTTTATTGCATATATTCAATAATATTTTTAAGGCAAGTGATAATACGTATTAGTATTAACGTGTATACTAAAAAGGTGTCTAGTCCGTCTCAGTTTGTTGTGTCATCATCATGTCAAATCATAAAAGTTTTCATTGTATAACGATGGACAATAAGTAATGCTGATTGAAGGAATGAGAATGCAAGGACAAATATGATTTAAGAATATATGACATTGTCGATTGACAGTACTTACTAAATAGTAGCAATACTTGTAGAATAACAATATTCCAGAACATCAATAAATTTACTGAAAAACAACTGTACAGCGTTCGTATTCGCTGTCCTCTTTAAATTTGTATATTCTCCAGAATGATGATTACGAGAGTGTCGGAAATGGTCTGTTACTATATTAAGTTTTATTATTTTCTTGAAACTCGATTCTTATCATTTCATCTAAGGTCTTTTTATTATTTTTCATCTCTATTGTATTCTTTTTCATTCCAATAAAACAAACGGGTGTTGTCAATTATGATCATGATTGCATATTAGCTATAAATAATAATGATGCTTCATTTGACGTCAATAGAGCATACGCATCACTAACACTACAATCAAATTATCAGTAGTATTTTTTTTTTGTTCATTATCTTTTATTACCATCAGTATTTCAATGAATAAGAATATTGAATAACAAAAATAACTTGTTTTTCCTTTTTTCTCAATACTATTTTTATTTAATGAAATATTACATGAGAAACATTGAAGTATGTTTAAACTATCGTGATAGGAAAATACAAAATATAAAAAAAGAAATTATTTTTGTTGTCAACATACACTACGATATAATTTTGTTTTCGAATGAGATACTATGATTAGCAAATTAAGAAATTATTTAATTATTATCTTATGATATTTTCAAAAATTCTAAAAATAATTCATTCAATGAACTTACTCATATTGAATGCATGTTGAAGACATAAGATAGCTTAATAAAAATTATTACAAATAATAGCGGTAAACTACACTTTTTATTTGTTATTATATCGATCGATATTCAATCATTTTGCATATTTCATAGGAAATTTTATATATGTAGATCTTCTCTATCTCTCTTAACTATAAGAATGTCTAATACAATTAATCGTTGAACATTCTCATAAGAAAATCAATGATTTTTTTATACATCTCATTCAATAAAGTTTAATGACATCACAACAAACAGTTCATGAATATTAAGAAAAAAAGACAGAATATTTTCTATATAAACATATGCAAATTTCTCTAGTCAATATAAATCAATAAATATATTACAATTGTTGCATCTATTGAAATTGAGAAGAAAAATAGTTGAACAACGATCAAAGATGATAAAACAACAAATAACGGTAGATATGTTCTTTATTAATTTGACGATAGTATTTATCAATAATAACCTATTGATTAGATGAAAATACAATAAAAAATAACTAAAGAATATAAAAAAAAAAAGAAAAACTATTTTCTTTTCTATTGATGATTTATCCAGGGTCAAACATATTTTTTGTTTTTCTTCAATATCTAATGTTTATTTCTTCTAGTCGATTTATTTGCAATTAATATTCAGAATAGAGAAATTCTTGATAGTATGTGTTAAGTAATCAAACAAATAGAAATTATCTTATAATGAGAAAATCTATTTATTCACATAACTAGAGCATGTTAATGTTTTACTACGTCATTAGAAATCATCAGTAGATATACAAGTGTATAACTTTAAATAAGAAAAATACGCAAAACAACATTATGTTGTTCGATACAAATATTAAACATCATTGTAAATCATTGTCATTAGAACGTCATAGAAATCGTGTATCTAGCAATACTAGTATATATGACAATGTTATTACGCCACAGGCAAATGGATATATTCCGTAAGTATCAATAATAATAAAAAAAAAAAAAAGAAAAGACTGATTCCTTGTAATAGATGAATTCGTACATGATGTGATCTATCATTATAAAACATATGTTTAATATCTAATATAATGCATTAGATCTAATATATCTATTATTTTGATGACATATGTACGTATATGGATATGATCGAATGATGTGTCTAAGTAAAAAACATTACCATCATTTCTTTTCTTTTTTATCAAATATAAGATATCAAGTACAAAAGATTCTTTTCTATTGTTTTGTCATTGCATACATTTTTTTTGAAGAAATCAACTAAACTATATTATTATTGAATATACAATGTTCTATTTTCATTTGACAAGGAAACAACGACGAGATGAGCTGCTTCAACAGCAGCAACGACAAAGTGCTCAACAATCATCAATTGGTAGTATTCATTCAGAACGTATGGAACGATGTAAAACTTGTTGTAAATCTGTAACAACATTTATATTTTCACGTGTTGGACTTTGTTTACTTGTTGTGGCATATGCATTTGGTGGTGGTTGTATATTTCAATTATTAGAAG